GTATGCCCCAGCCTAGTAATGGAAGAGGAGTGAGTGTCAGGCAAAGAACCAGCAATGGCTTGAAGCATCTTCTCACTGCTCTTTTATGGATGTCTTAGACACACAGAGGTGGTACTGGCTTCCTATTTCTAGGGATGACATAGGAAGTTTGCCTTTTAAAACTCACCCATTCAAGGATTAAAAGGTGAGTCTGTTTAAATAAAGAGTGACGCGCATCACAGTGTAGGAAGATTACAGGTATGACAAAAACTGTGATAGTGGCCAGGAGCGGTTGAAATTTATAGGACACTGGTTAAGGACATCCCTGATCTGAGGCTGGGGAAGGTTCTCATAGCCTGACATCAGCAGGGGCCAATAAGGGACACACTTCCTGCTGAGTAAGGGTGACAGAGGTCAGGAAGGAAACCCAGACTCCCCTCAAGAAAGTCAAGGTTGCCTAGTCAACTTGCCAGGGCAAACTCTTCATGGAAATGGGATTTTACAGTTGGAAGGCACCTACCTTCGTGCTGTTGAGTGCAAAGGTATTATCGTTGTCACTGTCACCATCCCCTCACCAAATCTTTGTACAAATATGCACAGTCATTGCTCCATGTCCCCGGGACAATGGTTCTTAGATCTCCATAGATACAAAAACCCAGGGATGCTGAAGTTTTACTTAAAAAAAAAAAAAAAACAGGAATGCTGAATGTGGTATTTGCATGGAACATGTGCACTGCATTTTATGGATGAGGAAACTGAGGTTCACTTGTCTCGGCAGTGTATTTAGTGCCCAAAGAATCAGGGCTTGTTGACAGCACTGAGACGGCAGAAGTGAACAACATAGGTAAAGTCGATGCCTTTGAGGAATGGACTTTCTTGTGGAGGGAACAGACAATAAATGAGCCAAAAGGGGCTGGGGTGGTGGTGCACACTTGTAATCCCAGCATTCGGAAGGCTGAGGATCATTGTGAGTTTTCAATCCACCTGGGCTACAAAGTGAGCTCAAGGCCAGCCTGAAGTGCATAGCAAGACCCTGTCTCAAAAAGACAAAAACAGGGGCTGGGGATTTAGCTCAGCGGCAAAAGCGCCTGCCTGGCAAGCGCAAGGTCGTGAGTTCGGTTCCCGGTACCGGAGAAAAACCAAAAAAAAAAAAAAAAGACAAAAACAGAACAAAAGGAGAGGGGCTTTTCTGAAGTGACAAACTATGAAGGAAGACACAAGGTAACGTGACAGAGCATGACAGAGGGCTCTACAGGCCCCTCCCAACGTGGAGGCAGAGAAGCTACCATGCTAGGAGCATCCCTGGGAAAAGCCTTCTATGCAGAGGGAACAGCCCAGGCTCAGTCAAGGCTCCAGGATGGGCATGAAGCTGTGTGAAGCACTCATAGCCCAGGGAGGGGAGATGGCTCACGACGAGGTCAGCAAGGTGGACAGAGGACAGGCTGCCTGCAGTCTGCAGGCTGAGGTCAAGACTCTGGCTGCTTCTCCATGGTGGATTTGAAGCAGAGCACCGAGTGCCCAGGAGGGTAGCTTAGTTTCACCCAGGGGATCCCAGTGGTCAGTGACACAGCCCAGCCTACATCCGTCTAGTGGAGTTCTTTCTCCTCTGTGGAACACCAGGCCGGGCGTCAGGCAGAGCTCTGCGTCACAAAGGCCCTGGCCTTCTTTCCTACACAAGACCACTCGGAAATCCCACTGCAGATGTGGCTCCAGAAGGACCTGTCCTTCTGTTTTCCTTGACCCCAGGACCCTTGCTCAGCACCAGCCCATAGACAGCTTCCTCTGAGGCCCCCACTGGCCTGGATTCTGCCACACAAGCCTCAGGGCAGTCTGTCTTTCCGAGTTCTGAGATGCGCAAACACTGCTCCCATTCCTTTAGCAAATGTATTCATAGTCATGCGATACAGTACTGTGGTTAGGGGAACAGACGCTGGAGCAGGGAGGTCTGGGTTCAAACCCTAGCTTTGCCACCGGCCCAGGCTGCATCTGGGTGAGTTAGTGAACTTCTCTGGGCTTTTGCTTCTGTCCATAAGCAGGTTGTAGATAGATGGAGGGGGCAGAGGGTGCTAGGCCGTTGTTGGCTTTGTGTGTGTTTGCGTGTGTGTGTGTGCGCGCGCGCGCTGGGGATGGAAGCCAGGGACTCACACAAGCTAAGCACACACCCAACCACCAAGCTGCATCCTCAGCTTCCCTTGCTGGCTACTAGCAAGTATCATCTCAGCATCCTCATCAGGCCTCCGAGGGTGGCCAGGCCTCTTCCTGCCCTGCTCCTCCCCCTTGGAGCACTACGCGCACAGCCTCACATACCTGAGCTGCCTGAGGCTGGGGGCACGGCTTGCTCATCTCTGTCCCTGGCACAGGGCCGGGCACTGAGCACATGCTGTTTATTGGAAGCATGAATAAGTAGTGAACAAACATGTAGGAGTATGGGATGGTTACATGTGCGTCAAAGGTGAGAACAAAAGCTTGTACTAACTCGGGACAAATACTTTCAACACAAGCGCCTCTGGCAGGCCTGAGTAATTGAGGAAAGGCTGTAGGCACACATGGCTCAGAGTCAAGGAACCCCACAGGGACGGAGCAGCAGAGACCGGGCGCTAACAAGCAGTCCAGAACCCTGAAGCACAGACCAGTGTTTGGAGTCAGAGAAGCTGGGTTTCCAAGTCCTGAAACCAGCAGCTACCAGCCAAGCTGTCACCTTGGCAAGGCTACTGGGTACAGCCGGGAGAGCGGTCCCCTGCCTGAGGGAGCTGACAAAGGCCAGGGGAGGGCTGAAATCCAGCCCATGCTCAGCTGCAGGAGGCGAGGGGTCCGGGGGACCTGAGAAGGGGCGCTTTTACAGTGATCTCCTGGAGATGGCAGAGGTGACCAGCGGCGCTACTGGCCTGCACCCAGACTCTGAATCTCAGCCTCAACCTGCAGCGCGAAGCCAGTGAGAGCAGCTACACCTCACAAGGCAGGCAGATGCGCTGTCACCCCTGCGATACTTTCTAATGTCCACTCTAACGCCCAGTGCCTGGAACCATGCCGGGCACGTAGGCTATGCTCAGTGCATTTGTGGAATGAAGGAAAAAACAAGTGGGCCAAGGCGCTGAGCAGGCCTCCCCCATCCTCCCCTCTTCCCACAGGCAGCCTGCACAGGTCCCCGCGTATGGGCTTCCGTGCCAGACCGTGAACTCTAGTAAACTCCACGACCCTCGGTGTGGAAGGAAGCAGAGAGGGGGATGGGGCAAATGCCAGATGGCAACATAGGCTGGAAGGAGCAGTAACCACGTGACAGAAACCGCGCGAACTGGAGGTGGTGGGTACCAGCCCCGCTCACACAGAGCAGGAGGTTATGGCCCTGACGGAATGCAGCTGGGTGTGAGGCCCGCCTGGGAGTGGAGTTCTTGACTGACTGGCTGGCTGGGGCCCGGGCCCTGGTCCCCTCGGGAACCTGCACTGCCAAGGGCAGGTCTCATCAAAACAGGAAAAATCATAGAGCAAAAATGCACATGTAAGGGGACTGGTATTTACAGGGAACGGCCCTGACTTGACACGAGGACCAGGGAAATGGACGGGGTGCGGGGAACACAGAGGGGGCACTAAGGGAGCAGACCTTCCCTGGAAAGGGGGCCCGCTGCCCGCCCAGACCCAGGATCCCAGGAAGCTACGAGGGGGCCTAAGAGAAGAAGACAAGGCAAGCTCAGAGGTCACACCCTCAGAGTGGCTGCCAGCACAGGTCTTGTGGCCACAAGCGGTGATGCTGCCTCAGTGGCCATAACCCAGTCACAGTGTCTCAGGAACACCAGTGCACTCTCCGGCGCTACCTGCAGAGCAGAGAGGAGAGGACTTCGGGCCCAAAGCCTGGAACGCAGGATCAGTGGACACTGGGCAAATTCCTAGGCCCATTTCCTTCCTTTGGGGCTGAGGGGATGCCTGCAGAGTGCTGGGAAGGCTGGCGGCATGATGAACCTGGGCCTGCCAGGCACACGGAAGCACTCCCCTCAGCAGCCTTTCCTCTCCTAATGCCTCAGGAGCGGGCGGGTTTCACCTGTAGGGGTCACGTGACAGCAGGCCTCCCAGCAGTCTCCTCTACTCCAGCCCACCAGCTCCTGGGACACACCGTCCTAGCCTCTGCGCCCTTCCAAGGCATCAAAAGAAGGACCTGTGGCTGCAAGATTCTCAGAATGAAAGACAAGCTCCTTACTGCATCCTCCAAGACTCTCACGGCCTGGTCCAGCAGGCTCCTCCAGCCCCACACAGCCTGGCTCTGTCCTCCACCCCTTCTGCCTGCTGACCCGTGCCCACCCCACCTCGGGGCCTCTGCCTTGTTCCTTCTGCTCAGTGACTTCGACGAGGCTTCCCTTGGTCCTGAGGCCTCAGGTCTCAGAGATCCCTGTGTCTGTCCCTCAGAGCATTCATCCCGACCGCTAATTACAAATCTAACTGGATGTTTGATTTAATTGCCAAACCCTGATTCCTGAGGGCAGAGAATGTATTCCTGGGATCCCGACCTCAGTGAGTATCTGGAAGGCAATCAGTGAGTGAGAGATGAGGAATGGGGACACTCCCTAGAGGGATGGAAAGTGAAGAGGGCGCTAAAGCAGAGAGCAGGTGGGGAGACCAGATCTTCCCACTCACACTGTGGGACTATAATGGATGCCGGAAGACAGGACCCAGGGAGGCGGCAGTCACGTGCGAGAGGAGCTGCTTCAGGTCCCCAGTGCTCATGAGCCCCCAGAGGCGTGGGCACATGGGTTGGTGGTGGCGGTGGAAACCTATCTAGTAACACGCATATGTTATCCTGTTTTGATCTCACACACTGCTTGGAAGAAGGGGCACCATCATCAGCCAATCGTTACAGGTGAGGAAACCGAGTCCCAGGAGAAGAGGACCTGCCTGAGGCCCCACAGCCAGGAATGGATGGGGCCGGGCCTTTGGCAGTGCACTGCTGGACACAGGCAGCAGGCTTCTGACACAGGGGAGGAGTCTCCTACCCGGACGTCCCTGCAAGGAAGTGAAGTGAATGACAAGCTCGCCTCGAAGCTGCCACAGCTGCTACAGCAGGGATGCTTGTACACCTGAGAACAGTGAGTAGCCATGAATGGACCGCTCCGGAAAATGGAACGGGAACCATGCGGCCCCAGCCAATGCCGAGCATCACATCCATGTCTGCCTTCATGACACCCCTGTGGACCAGGCACTGACATTAGCATCATTTCACAGAGGAGGATGATGCTCAGACAAGTCCCTCTCATTCCCAACTGAAGATGCATAGCACATGGTGCCTCTTCTCCTTACTGTGGTGTTCCCATGCACTTCAACATCCACCCACACACTCCTAGGCTGGGTGCACATCTGTCGCCCAGCTTTCAAGAGGCTGAGGCAGGAGGATCAACTTAGCAAGATCCTGTCTCAAAAGAATAAAGAGGCTAAGGATGTAGCTCAGCGAGACAGTGCCCCAGGCTTGACCCCCAGTACCCAAAACAAAACAAGAAAAATGTTGCCGAGGCCTACTACTGGCTTTCCTGCTGCAGGGTTCTAACCCTTGGCTACGCCCATCCAACACCATCTGTGCACCTGCATACTGCCTCGGCCATCGTGCGCAGTATCCGTGATTTCATCCGGCTCCACACACCCCGAGGGAGGTCACTCTCCCCCGCTATAAAAATGGGGACACTGAGGTACGGGGACAGAGAGGAGCATAGGGAACTCAGTCCTAGTGGGGCTCCACTGTCTGTTTCCTGTCTCCACAGGAGTCTGAATAAGAAACAGTCATCACAGAAGAGAGAGCCCATCCCTCACCACCTTTGGGAGAAGTACCAATCCATAAGGGCCAACGGGCTTCCAGGTCCCCTTCTTCCAAGCTCTAGGAAGTTTTCACGTTTATTTGATCCTTTTTGTTTTCCTAAGCACCACTTCTGCTCAAGAACCTTCTATGGCTCCCAGGTGCCTGATGCAGCACATGCAGACCCACCTTAGCTATGCACTGTAACCCTCATTCTCTCCCACACTGTCATCCTCTCCTCCCAATCTCTCATCGGGTACTGAGTCCTCTGCTAGAATCACTCCTTCCCCTCTACGGACCCCACTCCAACTCATCTCTCAGTGCTGCTCCTCCTGGAAGCCTCGCTGACTCACACACTCTGCTGTTTGCTTTGCCTGGTGAGCACTACTGCAGGCACAGCCTGGACTCCTGCTGGACCGGTGTGAACACACCTCACCTTTTAAACGGGGCTCTTGCTTTCTCATGAGTCAGGTTCAAGTCCACCTGTATAGGCCAGGCCTTCCTGTTTGTCCCAGCTTCTCCAGCCCGGCTGTCACACAGACTCCGCCCCCTCTAGCCCAGCTGGTCAGGGAGGGATGACACACTGTCCACGCCCGGGCACCCAGGATCACTGATAAGGCTCCCATCTTTTCTGCGCCTCAAGTGCTTCAGGTGCCCTCCTGCCAGGAGGCCACAGCTGACTCACTCCTCCGTTGTCTCTTTTTACTTGATGGGATATGACTTACAATTTAATAAGGGTCATCTGATGAATTGAAGGTCAACATTTCAAAACGCCACTCTGCGTGGAAAATGTGAATGAAAGCGATCTCTTGGCAAACAGACTGGATGCTGCAGAGCCAGGAGCTGTGCCTGAGGCTGCCTGCACCACCCATGGAATGGGCTCCCGCAGAGGCTGCTCCCCATCCACAGAGGCCCAGGCCCACTCTTGCTGACGCGCACCCACGGGTCAGGTCACCTCAGGTCACCACGGCCACGCTTCATCCAAGCCTCTGCCTCTGGGAGGCCCGGCCTCCTCACCCTGGCACCAGACCCCATCAAGCTCTGGGTCCTGGGGGAATCTTCTTGAACTGTGGACAGACTGAGACTGTCCGCCGTGAGCTCTCTGGGTATTCCTGCAGGTCCACACTCCCGGCAGGTGTATAAGGCCCCCAAGAGAAGGTACCACATCCATGGCCTCCACACGGCACATGGCATATAGCAGGTGCTCGAGGGAAAACGCTTACGTTCTTACAGGAACAAATGAGCCCACAGACGCCAGCCAGACCTGGGGGCTCACCTCGGCAGAAGCATGCTGGTTGGGACCTCTGGCCCAGCCACCAGAAGAGAGGCATGGGTGCAGGTATGGAGGGCACAGCATTCTCCCTGTCCAGGCCAGGTGTGGGAGGCTGTGGCATGCTTTTTCTTCTGCTCTACTGCTCTCCTAGAAACTGGTATCACTGTCTACACCCAGCAGTGTGGCCATATTCTGGGAAATGCCACCCAGGCAAGGTAATGGGGGCTGCAGGGACCTATAGCACCCAACCCACCATGGGAACGCATCCAGGCAGCTGGCTGAAGAGTCCATTTCGGGAGCCCCAGAGCTCTGGTGACTGAGGGGCTACATGAATTCACAGGACCAATCAGCCCCTCAGAGGCTTTCTCTCTAAAACGGAGACATGGTGACTTGGATCTATCCTGGGATCCCCCTGTCAAAGGAGATGAGGAGACATGCTAAGCAAATTATGTACCTGGATCCTGTTGTGGGGTTTTTGTTATTGTTGTTGTTAATTCTTAAATTGCTTTTGAGGCAAATCTCACATGCACTAATAGCAAAGAATCAATATTGACTGAACACTTCCTACATGCCAGGCACTACAGGACCCTATTTTGCAAACTGTGAGCCTCAGACATGGTCCTGTCCTGTCCTCAGGGTACATGTGCACCACACTGGATCCTCTATGCAACATATCCAGGCAAAGCAACCCAGGGCAGACACTTCTGCCCAGAGAGTGGGTGGACATGAAGCCCACCCCCCATGCTCCCGCACAGGGGGCCCTCAAGGGACACCAGCAGGGACACTAACGGCAGCAAAGACAGGAGCACACAGTTTCACACATGCATCTGGCCCTATGTGCACTTATACTCTGTGCCCCGGGGTGTTTCTATGACAGATGGCCCTCTCCTCTGGGCTGGCATTGCCAGGGTGCTCAGGTGAAGGCTTGAAAAGGCCAGGGATCCCATCACCCACAGGCCAGAGTCCCACATGGAAGACCTGCATCAAAGTCCAAACACAGAAGTACCGGGGCAAGTAACAATCCCAGCCCCGTGCGCTGAGTGCCAACCATGGCCGGGTGCCATGTCAAGTGCCTTACACGTGCCATTTCATTTAGGTCCCCAAAAGGAAGGCCCAGGTGCTGAAGTGCTAGCAAATCAGAGCACCTTCAGGTAATAGGGGTGAGATTCAAACCCACAAAGTGGACTCTGCTTACCAACTACGTGACGCTTTTCAAGAGCCTATGATGTACCTGGCACTGCCCTGGGCCCTGGGAACCCAGAAGAGAGCACAGCGGAGCCGGTCTCTGCTGTCACGGGGCACTTCAGAGACCCAGTTGTAATGACTGGTCTCCACTACCTGCCTCAGGACACTGGTTCCTCTCCGTGGACACCTCCACGTCTGGGTCCTTGGGGCCCACTGCTGCCATGAAGTGCGGGAGAATTCCTCATGCAAAAGGGGTCTGGTTAGGGGCTAAGAGGGCTCTGATGTGACATCAGCCAGCAAAAGCCAGGTCACGCGGGCTAATCAGCCACCAAAGGGCACCTGGGCAACCCACACCTGTGTTTCAGGAAACTGGAAGCTGCCTCTGGGCCTCACTTTCTTCATTCGACCCATTTTCCAGAGTGGCTTTGATGGCATTTCAAGCAAAGTAGAAGCACAAACATGCAATTCTGCACCCCCACCAAATGGTGACAGCGCACCTGCCGCTTCGGCAGCCTCCTTTGGGCTGGCTCATGTACCGGCAGATGCAGACGTAATTACACTGCTCTCCCCTCGGGATTTCCAGACACAGGTTCTCTCCAGGAGCCTTTAGGACCACCTTTATGAGCATCTTTTACAGAAGCTGTAGGGTTGGGGTTCGGCCCAGTGGTAGACTAGAATGTTTGTCTGGCACATGTGAGGTCTCAGGTTCACACCTCCAGCACCAAAAAAAAAAATCTATTTGAGGATGAATCATATTAGTCACTGATATTTGTCATGTGCCTACTATGCCTCAAAGCCTATTCATCAATGAACTCGGATTTTCATCTTGCAAATGAGGAAAGTGAGGCACAGAGAAACTTACTAATATTTGCCCAAGGCCATGGAGCAGGTAGGCAGGAGTCCTTCCCCCAGGGAATCTGTCTCAGGAATCTGGGCTCTTTTTCCTCCCTGCCTCTCTCTCTCCTCCCCTTCCTTCCTTTTTCCTTCCCCCTCCCCTCCCCTGCCCTCTCTCCTCTCCTCTCCTCTCCTCTCCTCTCTCCTCTCCTTTCCTTTCCTTCCTTTAAGCACATGCAGAGCCTGGGCTCAGTATCAAGACCTGACAGCACACAGACATTGTTCCCCTCTTAGGAGCCAGTCTCCAGACAGATATAGTGGCGCATGACTGTAATCCCAGCACTTGGGAAGCTGAGGCAGGAGGACTTTCACGAGTTCGAGGCCCCCCTTTTTTGAGACAGGGTTCACTATGTAGTCAAGGCTGGCTTCGATCTCAGTGATCCTCCTACCTCAGCCTTCCAAGTGCTGGGATTACAGGCATGTGCCACCACGTCTACCCCAGGCCGTTTTTAAAATTTTATTTTGAGACAGAACTGCTAAGCTGCTCCGGCTGGCCTTGACTTGCAACCCCCTGCCTCAGCTTCCTGGGTGGCCAGGATAACCGGTGCACACTACCAAAGGAAACCTTCTCCATGCTTCTTTAACAGACCCAGCAACCTCAGCAGGCGTTCTACTAGTCAGCCGTACTGCGCAGTGTGACCGTTCTCTCTGCATCTACTTAAGGCAGGTGATACTGCTTTTCCATTTTCAGAGATGTTATACAGTTACCTCTCATTAGTGAAAGTGTTAAATTCAAAAACTAAGTGACTTAAAGCAAAATTATGAAATAAATAATACACACTGTTCCCGAACATGGTGAAAATTGCAAAGAAGACACCACAATGGTAGAAGACAGAAAACTCTGAGTCAAGCTACCGTACCACTGTCCCCCTCCCCAACTCCACACACACACACACACACACACAAACACCCGCACATGGGTTGGCCTGCATTCCTGACCTCGCCAGCAGTCAGGTGTGGCCGGGTCCTGAGCTCTGGACAAAGGCATGTGAGCAGAAGTAATAGCATCACATTCCGATCTGACACTGCCTGCCACACTCTCTCTCTGC